GGTGATGTCATCTCAGTACGGCCGCCTTTCCGCCTCCGGGCATTTCAGCCAGCAGGAAGCCTGGCGTTTGTGCTGTCGAGGGCAGGGGCGCTCTGCACCCCCCCCATTTTCTGGTGCCTCCTGAGATGGTGTCAGGTGGGTGGTAGTGCAAGGTGATGGGTGCACCGTGTGCTCTGTAACCTTCCCAACGTGGTGCACTGTTGGAAGAGTTTCTTAATAAAATGCCAAGCCTGGCTGTTTTGCTCAGTGGTTGAGCATCAGTCTGTGAGCCAAGAGGTCACTGGTTCGATTTCCGGCCGGGGCACATGCCCGGGTGCTGGGCTCGGTCTCCGGTAGGGGCCGTGCAGAAGGCAGCCTGTCAGTGACTCTCTCATTGGTCATTTCTCTCTCTCCCTCTCCCTTCTTCTCTCTCTAAAATCAATAAAAACATTTAAAAAAATAAAATGCCGAGAAAAAGTGTTTCTCCTGTGAAATGAAATTCCCCTTTGTGAAGCTCTTTCCCCTTTGGCTCTTACCTCCTAGGTTTCGGTATCAGGACCCCGCGTTCTTGAAGGCGCTCGACGCGGCCGTGCAGCTCCTGTACCGTCTCGAGAGCCCCGTGCGCACCCGGCTCGTCCCGCTCCCGGTGGTCCACATGATGCTCACCCAGCACTCGCTGTTCCTGCCCACCCTGCTGACGTCCGAAGGGGAGGACGCCCCCTGTGGCCCAGTGAAAGGTGACCTGCCCCAGCCTCCCGTCCAGGGCAGCCCCTGGTGCCTGACTCGGGGCTGCTGTGCGCCGAAGCTCAGCGCCCCCTGGCGGCAGGGCTGAGGGAGCTGCACCAAGGGCGGAACGCTTCGTTCGGCGGAATCCCAGCTCGCGGAGGTCCTCTGCTGTCGGGCCAGGCGGCAGTGCCGGCCTCTCCTCAAAGCCCGTTCTCGCCCAGGGGAGTTGTGTTCATGGTCGTATGACCGTGCTGTGGGCACATGTTAAAACCTGGGCGTTAGGGGGCGTCTGACCCAAGAGAAATTGTTTAGTTGCATGAAATGTCTCAATGGGACGATGGAAACTTTTGTCGGAGCCAAGGGTTCAGGCTTCCCTGTAGACAGGCCCCTGCTGGGACTTGGAAGGTTCAAGTCTCCGTGCCGGCCCTGGGTCAGTGCACTTACTCCAGCACCTGAGACCCCAGCTTTGGCGTGGGCTGTAGAGACGTCAAGGAGGTGGTCTGAAGGCCCTGCCCTCTCGTACCACGTTCTGGTTAGAGACAGAATTGACACCCCAAACCGTGAGCGGTCACACGAGGGTGTGTAATAAACACACCCCAATTAGTGGTGTGCCGGGTGGAAGTGGAAAGGCTGCAGCCTCCTAGTCAGGCCAGAGGAGCGATGTTAGAGGTGGTAACGTGGCCCTGGGGGGGTGACTAAGCTGTAAATTCCTTGGTGGCTTGAAGCTTGGGAGGGGCAGTGGGCCTGAGAGCAGCCTCGTCAGACAGACCAAGGAGGGGACGGCTCTGAAGCTGGGTGTGTCCCGAGCCCAGTCCTGCTCAGAGAAGACCGGTCACTCTCATTGTTCCCTGAAACGTCCCCTCTCTCATTCTGAACGCCCCCCCCCATCCCCCTGGACACTCACTGCTGTTTCCCCCAGAGGCGCTGGTGGACCTGATGTCGGGGCTGGTGAGGATGTGCCCCTCCGTCTGCGAGAGCAGCCACCTCGCCGTGCTCCTGGGGGCCTACGGGGCCTCGCTCAGCGTCCTGGGTGAGCGGACGACAGGGAGAGTGTGGGTGGGGACGAGCGGTGTGGCGGGGCTGGGGGTATGTAAGGGTTGGCAGTTCTCTAGCTTGACCTTCCGCTGACCCGCAGACCAGAAGATTTTGCTTCTCCTGCGGGCGTATGAGCAGAGCAGCCTCAGCCTCGTCAGCTTCAGGTGGGTGCGGGGCCGTAGGTGTGAGGGGCAGGCCCTGAGGGTGCCACCCGAGGCGGGCTCAGTCCCCACAGCAGCCCCGAGAGTTCCTCCCGCTGCTTTCGGTGCTCAGGGCGGGGCGGGTGCAGCACCCTGTCTCCCGGGCGCCGCGCAGGCTGCTCTGTGTGCGGGGCCTGCGGGGGCCGCCGCCCTGCTGGCCGAGGCTGCGTGTCTGTCAGGCACCGGCCCCCACACTCCCCACAGCCGCCGTGTCGCTCGAGTGGAGTGGACTTTTCTGAAAACCGTTTTACCTGTGATAGGACTGGCTTGTGAGGTGGGGGTTTGGGGGAGGAGAGGAGAGGAGTGCCGGCTGGCGGTGCTGCGCTCCCCCGGCGCCTAGCCAGTCGTCGTGCGGGTTAGTGAGTTCACACTTGTGCAGGGCCTAGAACAGTGCCTGCCAGGTCGTAAGCCCCAGTTGGGTGTTGTCCTCTGTCATCATCACGGACACCATCCCACCCTCACAGTGTCGGCATCGCCCTCCTCCCCGTCTCCCCACATCAGGATGGAGACGAAATGACAGGACACACGCCACGTGCTCAGCGGTGCCTGGGCTGTGCCAGCTGCTCAGCAGAGCTGCCTGTGACGGTCGTACCGTCATCATCATCGTCAGTTCTGTGCCTGTGACCCGTCTTCTCCCTGCTCCCGCCCAGGGTGCTGCTGTGGGGCCCGGCCGCCGTGGAGCACCACAAGACGTGCCGGAGCCTGGGCAAGTCACTGTGGCAGCAGCCGAGTGCCGGGGACATCCTCCGCCTGCTGGACCACGACCGGATGATGACCACCATCCTCCGCTTCCCCCAGAACCGGAGGCTGCTGCCCCCCGAGGTGCGGGAGGCCGGGGCGGAGCCACCAGGGAGCACACAGCGGGGGGTGGGGGCGTGGCTCCAAGGTCGCCATCGGCTTCCGTGGACTAAAGTACAGGCACAGTGTTTCTTGTTAACTTCTTACTAAGTCACATCCACACACAGAGGTCCAGGGACAGGACCCCGTGTACCCACCCACACAGAACACTNCACACAGAGGTCCAGGGACAGGACCCCATGTACCCACCCACACAGAACACTGCCCCCCATATACCCACACAGGACCCCGTGTGCCCATCCACGCAGGACCCCGTATACCTACCCAGACAGGACACCGCCCCCCATATACCCACACAGGACCCCGTGTGCCCATCCACGCAGGACCCCATATGCCCATCCACACAGGACCCTGATACCCACCACTCGGCTCCAACAGTTACCAGCACTTGTATCATTTGTGACTTGTCCCCAGGGATCACAGTGGTGCGTGTGCAAGCCCCGTGCTTCACAGAGTCATTTCTAATGCTCTTGAGTCTTCAGAGCAGTTTGAACCCCATTCAGTGGTGAACATCTGCCTGATGCTGCGTCAGAGGCTGAGCATTTGGCACGTTTCCTGTTTCGGGTTCTTGCAGGAGGCACAGGACCCGCTGTTCACAGACGGGAGCCCAGCGGACCTCGATGGCCTGTATGACCCCTGCTTCCTCCTTCACCTCTTCAGTGAGCTGACCAGGCCAGGTAGCTGCGGCCGCGGGTGGGGTGGGAGAGCCGCTCTGCTGGGCCCGGAGTCGGGCTCTCACCGTAGCCGTGGCTGCTGCAGGGTTATTACTAAGACCTCGGCCGCCTTCTCACCTGTCAGTCCAGTGACTTTCAGCAAAGTAACAGTTGCCATTTCAAAGATACAGTGGTGGTTTTCTTAAAACCATTTGTACGTTTGTGACGGGCCATTCTCCTTGACGTTCATCCTGGTTCTCGGTGGCCAGCTTTTCCGAGGTTTCACCAGGTGGTGTCGCTACCGGCGGACTTACCTGAGGAGCGAGAGCCGCTGAGCTCGGCCTTTCTGGTTCTGCGTGTGTTNTTCCGAGGTTTCACCAGGTGGTGTCGCTACCGGCGGACTTACCTGAGGAGTGAGAGCCGCTGAGCTCGGCCTTTCTGGTTCTGCGTGTGTCTGAAGTCGCACTTTGTGTCCAGGGGCCTGGGGGTGCGGGGTGTGGAGAAAGAAGGGGCAGGAGTGGGCTCTGTGTGGTCACGGCTGGGCCAGCAGGTGCAGAGAGGGCTCCCAGGGCCCCTCCCACCGGGCTCAGCGGTGCACACGGCGCTGCCTGGGGCGACCGACTCACCCGTTGTCCTTTTTCTCCCTTTTCCAACCCGAACTCGTCTCCTTGTGACACTTACTGTGCCCCACCACTGCCCCGTATTCCTGCCAACGCGAGGGCTGGGGTGCCGGGGGGCGCCCACCACAGCTGCCCCTCCAGGAGCAGTTCTGCAGCTGGCAGGCCGTCCGCCGGCGGTGTCTGCGTCGCCCTGGCGACTGTTGGCAGCAGACTGGTGGAGTCGCGCCTGCCCCCTGCGCGTGGCCTGGCCACTGGCTAAGTCTGTTTCTCCTCAACTGGAATATAGGTTTTGCACAGTCTGAAAACACGAGGTGATCTCTGAGTCATAACAAATCGTTTAGTCTGCTGCCCAGTCTCTCAATAGAGCTTTTAGGAAACGAGGCAAAGGCTTGGAAAACGCTTGATAGAAAAATAGTAAAATCAGGACACGGTGTTTTTCTCCAAGTCTTGAATATTGCTTTTTATGGGCAGAGAGACAGGGCCCAGGAGGCCTTCATGAAGAGGTGACTAGTAAATGGTCTTTCGGGTGAGGGAAACCTCCACGTACAGCCCCCCTTTAAGCGTTTCGCTGCTCTAATGCAGCTGGAAGCATTTGCAGAGCATGTTTAGGCAGGATTTGTGGTGGCTTAAAACACCAGTTGCACTGAAATCACATTGAAGTGGGAGATTTTTAAAAGCATGGAAGTGGATACGGGGAAAAAGAAAAACTAGGTTTATTAGGTTTTGCCCCGGGCCACTTGTCATCCAGACAAAAAGGGAAGCGTGGCGTCTTAAACACGTTTTGCCTGGTTAAAGGAAGCTGCCAGTGCCGGGAGAGGGAAATACGGCAGTGAAATGATAAGTTGAACAGACAGACCTCTGAACGGCGTGATGCTACTGTGGACTTAGTTTATGGGCCAAATTATGTTTTTTGGATTATTTTTAAATGTATTCTTCCTTTGGCTTTTGCCTGGTGAAGCAGTCGGCGTGGACAGTGTACTGAGCAACTTTTTATTGAAGTGTGATGCATAGAAACTTAGATCTGGTATGTGTGGCTTGAGTTTGGAGAAGCCACCAGCTGAATCAGGGACAGAACGTGGTCTTCAGCGCCCCAGGCCCTCCCTGGGCTGTCCCCCCTCCCAGCAGAGACCATGTCCTGTGGTTGGACCTGCTTCAGCCCCGTTTATCCCACATCACACGTGTGAGATGTGTGCACAGACATGTTCACCAGCCTGTGTTCACGTCCTGCGGCGGCACCCGGCCTGAGTGTTGCGAAGCATTCACCATTTGAAATCGGGTGGACGGTTCACTTTTGCGTGGTTGCCTGTCTTCAGAGAAACTAGTCTCAGGGCTGCATCCCAGCCCTTTGCTGAAAACCGAACCTGCTTCCTTACGGCTTCCCTTCGAGTCCTTGGCTGAGGATCGGGGCAGCTGAGGCTGTCGGCAGTGCCCGTGGCAGATGCGTTTTCCACAGCAAATTCTGTTCTCAACAGAACCAGGCTGAAACCTTCCCCTCGTAATTCACACCTGCCGCAGAGCAGAGGCCGGGGCGCGCTTGTCAGCCTCGCCGCCAGGCCGCCTGAGGAAACTGTCAGAGGCGCAAGGAAGGGTCCTTAGTGCCCCAACCACACAGCTCCCACGAAAGCCCATAAAATGGGGTGCTTTTTATTTTAATCCTGGATCATTGTCCTGGCTAGAAGGCCAAATTGCTATTTATGATGTCCTGAAACAAAGAGAATGTCATTTGTTGCTGTTTTGTAACAGCCTTTATATTTTCAACACCCAAGGGCAGCTCTTTCCTTAAGTGTCTCAAAGCCAAGACTTCACAGAGTAACAGGGTGAACACAAAACATTACTGACTTCCTCGTGGACACATGGAAAATCCATTTGTCTTAGAGAATGTCGGTGGTGACAAACTGCCCCAGCCAGCTGAGCACTATTTTTAGTGAGTATGGTAGTAAGTGTGTGGACTGTTCTCTTTCCCAGAGGTACCCGTTTACGTGTATTTGTTAGGTAGCTATCTCAGTGTACCTTAAGCGCATCTTTTCCAAAGCAACATCATTTTATTCCACAGTTTGATGCTTCTTAAAGCTTTCAACTTTGTTTCCCCTCCCATCAGAAACTCACTCATTGTCCTGGCTTGTGTGACTCAGTGGTTGGGTGTCGTCCCCTGTGCCCAGAGGTTCCCGGTTCCATTCCCGGTTGGGGCACATGCCCAGGTTTCAGCCTCAGTTCCCCAGTAGGGGGTGTGTTTCTCTCTCCCTCTCCCTTCCTCTCTCTCTAAAGGTCAATAAAAATACATATCTTTTTAAAAGTCTCTTGTTACAAATGAGAAAACGTAGCCCCTGAGCTTCTGGAGCTCAGAAGTCGGGTTATCCTTTTACTTCTAACCTGCATCTTGACATTAAAAGTGGTTTCCTGTGGACGATGCACATGGGTTTGGTTCTGTTTATTTGACCTAATACCTGTGCCTTTTAATTGGAATGTATGTAATGCGATTATTGATACGATTATTTTATCTTCTTTGGCTTTTAGCTACAATGTGTATGTGCATGAGCGTGTGTGAGTGTGTGTGTGTGTATTTAATGCTATATTTTATTTCTCATAGAATTTGTGTTGGATTGTCGAAAATTTTTGGATTCAAATGCTCTGGGCCTGACCGTCACGGCCCTCAGCAGCTACGACCCCCCGATGCGAGCCGCAGCCTACTCTGTCCTGGCGGCCTACTACTCGCACGTGGAGGGGGCCCGGTTCCGCGAGCAGCCCCAGGCAAGTGGGCTGAGGGTGCGCTGGGGCCGCGGGGCTGCCCTGCTCTCCGCCTGGCCTGCTGGACGGGTCTCCCAGCTCCTGCCGGTGTTGCTGGAGGCTGCCTCTGTCCCCCAGCCCCGGGGCAGCTGAGTGAGGGGCCCCTTACGCACTCTCATGCTGTGGGTGGGCAAAGCGGTTTCATTTCTGCCCGCTCTTCCTTTGGTTTAAATTTAATGGTTAAGTTGGCTGTTCTCCATGTCACCCCGCCACGGTGCCCTGGGGAGGCAGGGACAGGAGCAGGCTGGATTGTCAGGCTGTGGGTGCAGGGTTCTCTTTGCCTTTGGCCACATGCCTGGCTCTTCAAGGAACGGCAGAAAGTGCTCTTGAGAGCAAGGATGTGACTCTTAGGAGCATCACCCTTGGTGGCCCTGGGGCGTGTGGAGCAGGCACCATGCAAGGCTGACAGGCTGCGTGAGGCAGGGCTGGTGACGGGTCTGAAGATGCTCGTTTCTCTTCCTGCCTTAAGGTGCTTTACCTGTTGGATGTAGTCCGGAACGGGATCCGGACTCCGAACATGAGGCTCACCTTTACCTTGGCGCTCTTCATTGCCAAAGCAGCCCTGCAGATTCTGAAACCAGGTACTGCTGATGGGATGAGGTTGAGGTGAGATGGAAATGTGGGGGCCGAGCAGGTGGGATCCGCCACGTATGGGAGAGGACAGGTCGGGGTGTCCAGGGCTGGTGTCCGCGGCGGACAGTAAATAATCGGTGGCTGTGAAGAAGCGCTTTAGGGGCCCCTATGGGACGAAATCCAGGAAAAACTAAGTGAAAAGGCCGGGTGCAGAGTCTGCCCACATTGGCCCCGCTGCCTTCCAGAGCCAAGTGACCCAGAGCGTTCGAGACCCTTTGGTGGGCAGTCCCTTCAGTGAGAGGCCCTTGGGTGTGGGTGTGGGGCCTGAGTTCACTCGGCCCCGGGCGGATCCACACTTCTGCAGTAGCTGATGATGGGTGGGGGTGTCCCTGGGGTGGTTTCTGAGCCCCGAGACAGCCTGTGTGCAGTGTAGACCCAGCGTCTAACTGTACTCCGTTCTCGAGAGCTAATAACTAGGATATGAGTGCAGAGCCCCACAGGGCTGAGACCCATGTCTGACCCCCGCACCCACACTGCCCGGCTGCCCCAGGCCAGGCTGTCCTGTGGTGACTGTCTGCCTTTCTCAGAGGAGCACATGTACCTGAAGATCAACAAGTTCCTGCTGTCCCACGAGCACCTGAACATGAGCAAAGTGCCCGGCTTCTACCAGTTCTTCTACAGCTCGGACTTCCAGGTCAGGCTCCCGGGGCCCCGGGCAGAGGCCTCCTGAGGTGACTCTCAGCCCTGTGACCGGTGACGCAGCCCTGGGCTGTTCTCTCGGTGCTGTTTGCAGAGCCCACTCACCGGCCCCACCGTTGGGGAGGCCGGGACGGTGTGGGTTTGCGTGGGCTGCGTGTGGGAGTGCTGTCCGTTCATGTGTCCACCTCCAGGCCGCTTCTCAACTTACGTACCCGCCTCACGGTCTGCGTTTTGCAGTGTTCTTACATCTCCTCCCTGAGTCACAGGGTAGCGGTTACACACTATTTTATAAATCGCCTGCCTGAGTCAACACAGCGCAGTGTTCAGACGTGACTTGAGGCCAAGTCGAAGATAATAGCGAGGATTTTCAGTAACGATCAGGCCGTGCTGTGGTCTTTGCCCCCGTGGGAAACGGTGGTGCCAGCCGGGGCTCTGACTGACAGTGTTTGTCTCGGAAATGGTGGTGCCAGCTGGGGCTCTGACTGACAGTGTTTGTCTCGGAAACGGTGGTGCCAGCTGGGGCTCTGACTGACAGTGTTTGTCTCGGAAACGGTGGTGCCAGCCGGGGCTCTGACTGACAGTGTTTGTCTCGGAAATGGTGGTGCCAGCTGGGGCTCTGACTGACAGTGTTTGTCTCGGAAACGGTGGTGCCAGCTGGGGCTCTGACTGACAGTGTTTGTCTCGGAAACGGTGGTGCCAGCCGGGGCTCTGACTGACAGTGTTTGTCTCGGAAATGGTGGTGCCAGCTGGGGCTCTGACTGACAGTGTTTGTCTCGGAAACGGTGGTGCCAGCTGGGGCTCTGACTGACAGTGTTTGTCTCGGAAACGGTGGTGCCAGCCGGGGCTCTGACTGACAGTGTTTGTCTCGGAAATGGTGGTGCCAGCTGGGGCTCTGACTGACAGTGTTTGTCTCGGAAACGGTGGTGCCAGCCGGGGCTCTGACTGACAGTGTTTGTCTCGGAAACGGTGGTGCCAGCCGGGGCTCTGACTGACAGTGTTTGTCTCGGAAACGGTGGTGCCAGCCAGGGCTCTGACTGACAGTGTTTGTCTCGGGAAACTGGTGCCAGCCGGGGCTCTGGCTGACAGTGTTTGTCTCGGAAACGGTGGTGCCAGCCGGGGCTCTGGCTGACAGTGTTTGTCTCGGAAATGGNGAGTGCAGAGCCCCACAGGGCTGAGACCCATGTCTGACCCCCGCACCCACACTGCCCGGCTGCCCCAGGCCAGGCTGTCCTGTGGTGCCTGCTGTAAGTGACTGTCTGCCTTTCTCAGAGGAGCACATGTACCTGAAGATCAACAAGTTCCTGCTGTCCCACGAGCACCTGAACATGAGCAAAGTGCCCGGCTTCTACCAGTTCTTCTACAGCTCGGACTTCCAGGTCAGGCTCCCGGGGCCCCGGGCAGAGGCCTCCTGAGGTGACTCTCAGCCCTGTGACCGGTGACGCAGCCCTGGGCTGTTCTCTCGGTGCTGTTTGCAGAGCCCACTCACCGGCCCCACCGTTGGGGAGGCCGGGACGGTGTGGGTTTGCGTGGGCTGCGTGTGGGAGTGCTGTCCGTTCATGTGTCCACCTCCAGGCCGCTTCTCAACTTACGTACCCGCCTCACGGTCTGCGTTTTGCAGTGTTCTTACATCTCCTCCCTGAGTCACAGGGTAGCGGTTACACACTATTTTATAAATCGCCTGCCTGAGTCAACACAGCGCAGTGTTCAGACGTGACTTGAGGCCAAGTCGAAGATAATAGCGAGGATTTTCAGTAACGATCAGGCCGTGCTGTGGTCTTTGCCCCCGTGGGAAACGGTGGTGCCAGCCGGGGCTCTGACTGACAGTGTTTGTCTCGGAAATGGTGGTGCCAGCTGGGGCTCTGACTGACAGTGTTTGTCTCGGAAATGGTGGTGCCAGCCGGGGCTCTGACTGACAGTGTTTGTCTCGGAAATGGTGGTGCCAGCTGGGGCTCTGACTGACAGTGTTTGTCTCGGAAATGGTGGTGCCAGCTGGGGCTCTGACTGACAGTGTTTGTCTCGGAAATGGTGGTGCCAGCTGGGGCTCTGACTGACAGTGTTTGTCTCGGAAATGGTGGTGCCAGCTGGGGCTCTGACTGACAGTGTTTGTCTCGGAAATGGTGGTGCCAGCCGGGGCTCTGACTGACAGTGTTTGTCTCGGAAACGGTGGTGCCAGCCGGGGCTCTGACTGACAGTGTTTGTCTCGGAAACGGTGGTGCCAGCCGGGGCTCTGACTGACAGTGTTTGTCTCGGAAACGGTGGTGCCAGCCGGGGCTCTGACTGACAGTGTTTGTCTCGGAAACGGTGGTGCCAGCCGGGGCTCTGACTGACAGTGTTTGTCTCGGAAACGGTGGTGCCAGCCGGGGCTCTGACTGACAGTGTTTGTCTCGGAAACGGTGGTGCCAGCCGGGGCTCTGACTGACAGTGTTTGTCTCGGAAACGGTGGTGCCAGCCGGGGCTCTGACTGACAGTGTTTGTCTCGGAAACGGTGGTGCCAGCCGGGGCTCTGACTGACAGTGTTTGTCTCGGAAACGGTGGTGCCAGCCGGGGCTCTGACTGACAGTGTTTGTCTCGGAAACGGTGGTGCCAGCCGGGGCTCTGACTGACAGTGTTTGTCTCGGAAACGGTGGTGCCAGCCGGGGCTCTGACTGACAGTGTTTGTCTCGGAAACGGTGGTGCCAGCCAGGGCTCTGACTGACAGTGTTTGTCTCGGGAAACTGGTGCCAGCCGGGGCTCTGGCTGACAGTGCTTGCTGTTTGTTTGCCTGGTTCCAGCAAAGCACCGAGCGGGAGTGGCTGTTCCAGCTCCTGCGGCAGGGGATGCGGGACAAGCACTGCTACGAGCTGTACGCCAGGCGGGGCATCTTCCACATTGTCCTGTCCTTCTTCCACAGCCCACTGTGCGACCCCACAGCCCAGGTAGGCGCCCGCCCCCCCGGCCCATGCACGGCTGAAAGCCTAGGCTTTCTCAGGGTTTACCTGGAAGTCAACGTTCATTTGAATTCCCACCCAGCCTGGGTGTGACCGACCTGCTCGGTTGGCATCAACCTGACCTTCAAGGCAGGAAAGAGAGACTTCACAGGTGTGCGCGGTGCTTGCGGTGTGAGTGGGTGTCAGCACTCGTGCTAATCGGTAATCATGGGCCTCGGAACTGGCTGAGGGGTTAGAAACAAATCACCCCACAAACAACCAAGGTGCTCAGGCTGAGACCCTCTCGAACCCCCCGATTCCCAGTAATGCCTGGGAGCTGCCAGTCATCAAAACTGACTTTCTGTTCTGGGTTTTCAGAATTGGGTTCTAGAAATTCTGCAGAACGCTGCCCAGGATGCCAGGTCTGCCTACAAGCTCCTGCGGGACTACAGCCTCCTAACGTGGGTCCTGCACGTCCTCGAGAGCAGGTGAGCCCCTCGTGTCGTGTGGGGGGTACGTCGGGCAGGGAGCGGGTGTAAGGGGACCGTGGTGTCCACTGAAGCAGCAGCGCCCACTGGAAGTGCCCAGGAGGACACGCGTGGTCCGAAACACACGCCTAAATGCCACCATAGGTCGGTAACCAGCTCCTGGTGCTGCCGACATGGCTCCCCTCACCGTACGTCTCTGAGTGTCCGCGTGGGCGACGGGCGCAGCTGCTGCTTGCACTGGGCAGCTCCACCGGCTGGCCCTGTCCCGCAGTCCAGCCCTTCCCTAGAGTGCTGCCACCATCTAAGGTTTGAGGCTGTGGCCTCACGTGCTGGTGGGCGACAGCCGTCCCCCGCCCGCCAGGGTGCGGTGCCCCAGGGGGTATCTGTCTTAGTCCTCCGGCTGCTGCAATGAGTCACCACAGAACGGAGGGGCTCAAACAGCAAGCATTAAATGTGTCACAGCCCTGGGGCTACAAGCCTGAGGTCGGGGCAAGGGGGGCAGTGTGGGTGGGGTCCGGTGGGAGCTCCGTCCCCGCCTTCTCGCTGTGTCCTCCCTGGGAGGAGGGGAGGGAACTCTGCTGCCCCTCCTGTCCTTAGAAGGGCACTAATCCCATCACGGGGGCCCCGCCATCATGACCTCCCCTGAGCTGAGCACCTCCCAGAGGCTCCATCTCCATCTACAGCCTCGCTGTGGGTCAGGACCTCCAGAGACGAATTGGGGGGGCTGAGGGAAGTGCAGTTCAGTCCATAGCATGATCTGCTTTGATTCCTAATCATCTAAACTTGCGGCCGTCTGGAGGATGACAGCCTGTCTCGGCAGACAGCGCTTCCTGTGGGGAGCTTGCTTTCAAAGAACAAACATTCTAAGAAGCCAGGGGNGACAGCCTGTCTCGGCAGACAGCGCTTCCTGGGGGGAGCTTGCTTTCAAAGAACAAACATTCTAAGAAGCCAGGGGTACCCAGGCCCATTGTGCATGTTTAAAAAGTATTTTTTAAAATTCCTCTAAGAGAAAGCAGTATCCTGAATCTAGACTGTGTCTTTGGGGATCGGCTCCCAGCCTGTTTCTGATTCATAGAAGGTGTAGGTGGCTGTTTACTTTCTGTTTGGCGTCGATTTGTTCTCCTGAAGCCCCAGCAGCGGCTGCAGGGCTGCTCTGGCCGGGGCCCCTGGAGGCCGTCGGTGAGACAGGAGAGTGGGCCCCTCGTGTGTTAGGCTGGGTCTGTAGCAGCACCTGCTCTTACTCAGAGCCTGTGCCTGTCTGGTAGCTGCAGTGGGGGCCTAAGTGGATGGAGTTGTTAGGGGCGAGGAAGCGTGGCCGCCGCCCGGCCCCGCCCAGCATCGGAGTCATCCTGTGGTTCCTGCCCACCCCCTGGCCGATGCCAGTGGCGGAAGGAGGGCTGTGACAGGAGGGTCCTGTGCTCCGTCGCAGGTTCCTGGAGACACAGCTGCTGTCCAGCATCACCTGCTTGTTGCACACACTGTGGGTGACCAGCCTGGGGGACAAAGGGGCAGAGTGGGGCGGCCAGCCACCACGCCCACCAGGGCCCCAGAAGCCCCCGAAGCTGCTGGCCCTGCACCTGGTCAACGAGTTCCTGTATGTCCTTCTAGTGCTCGCCAAGCACCTGAGGTATGCCCGCCCCCCGGCCTGCCCCCTGGGTGGCCACTGCGGCTGTCCTCTCTCTGTCCCTTTGGTCACGACTCCATTCTGGGCCCGAGCTCCTGTCAGTGGTCAGCCTGGTGTGAGCTGGGCCAGAGCTGCCACCAGTGTGGGCGAGGTCGGGAACCCCTCTGTGTGCAGCTGCTTCCTCCTTTCCACTTCAGCTTCGTGGGGTTCCTTCCGCGCCCTGGAAACCGAAAGCGTGTCCCAGGTCACTTAGCAGGCAGCCGTCCACCTCGATGTCCTCGTTCAAGCACTCAGAGGACTTTTGTAGAGAGACTGTGTTTCCCGTGACCTTGACCTGGGAAAGGCGGGTGTTCCCAGGCGCCCCTGCCTCAGCCCGCACGGGCTCCTCACCCATGAATTGCCTTGGAAACGAGCATTTTCCACCTGCCCCGTGGAGTGCTCTTGGCTCCCCCAGGAGCGCGCAGCCCGCGGGCCTCTGGGTCAGGCAGTGTGCTGCGCGCCTGCCTGTCTGAGCTGGGGCAGGTGTGCGGTTGGACCCAGGAGGTCGGCCGAGCAGACTGAGTCTCAGGATGGAAACTGATCAGAGCAGGCTCTTGGTTTTATGCTCTGAACTAGTCCTGACGTCCGTGCCGGTTGTGTGATCCTTACCTAGGGTCATTGAAGGACACACTGGTCTCTCAGAACTGCGTGCTTTCAGAAATAACGTAGTTTTAAGGTGGCGGGGAGTGGATAGTGTTGGATTTTAAATTCCTCCCGGCGACCCCCGGTAGCACTGGCCGTGGGCAGTGTGTCCCAGGCGCTCTGGGCCTCCCACTGAGTCCGAGTTGATGAGACAGGAGTGGGCAGTCATGAATGAGTGTCCGGCAGCCCACACCTGGCCCTCAGGCTCTGCCCAGCTATCCATCAGCCGTGGTTTCTGGAGACGTCTGTGCCCCCAGGATGGAGTCCGGCCCGGCCCCCTTGCTGCCGTCCCAAGCACCCGGCTCTTGCCGTCCTGGCTGTGAAGGGAAGCAGCTGGGGGGTGGCCTGTGGGCGCCGCTGCTCTGCGGCATGACTGGCGCCCTGTCCGGGGCTGGACAAGGAGGCAGCTCTGCTCATTCGGTCCTCCCGACAGGCCCACCTTGGCCTCCGCCCCGCTGACCGACTTCTTCGGGGCGCTCGAGTCCGTGCTGAGGTACCGGGCCACCGTCCTGCAGGCCTTCAGGGACATGGCCCGCTTCACCGTGAACGAGACGGTGCTGTCCACCAGGGACGCCCTTGTTCTCCTGCACAAGTGGAGCCTCATCGAGAGAGACGCCGAGCTGCAGGAGGCCCTGCGAGCCGCTGCGGAGAAGCTTCACGTCAGGGAGCTGCTGAGTGCGTGGGGCCCACGGTGTGGTCGCGGTTCCCTGCTGCCCTGTTTCCCTGAGCAGCCATGTCCTTCCCTCTCTGAGCAGCGTCCCCATGGCGGACGAGACTTAGAGGTGCCTCTCCATCGTTGTTGCCTAGAGGGGGGCTTGGGGGGCCTGGCTCTGGGTCAGCTCTGTCCCGCCAGGGAGCTCCCTGTCATAGCAGTGACACCAATCCCGGTCCAGTACCCGCGCTCGCTGTGCCCCAGGCAGCATGGCCTGTGGGGCAGAGCCGGCCACTCAGTGCCTGTGAGCCTTCTCCGCCCGCCCCCCCATCGCACGCCCACCGCCCAGTCTGTGGGGACATCAGTCTCACCCATCTTCTCTCTCTGACAGAAATGCTCAAGGACAGGAACAAGCCCACTGTGCCAGCCCGAGGCCCTCGGGGCCGGAAGAGGAAGCCTGGGGAGGTGGAGGAGACAGCCAGCCCCGAGCTGCCGGCGTCCAGCTTGGAGACGTGCAGGGGCCTCCTGAGGTCCATACTGACCCACTGGGGGCCGGTGTTCCCCGGCCCTGTGCCCGATCAGGACCCTGAGGACCTAGCCACCCCGCAGAGTGATGAGGCCAGCCCCATGTATGCCGTCGCCACCCTGGTGGTCAGCTGGGTGCTGCGGTCAGCAGCCCAGCACCCGCTGAGCAGGGCTGAGGCCTCAGGCCTCCTCCGCTGGCTTCAGAGCCACATTGTGCCCCAGCCAGCAGTGGTGGCCGAGCTGCTGAGGGACAGCAGAGTGCGGAGTGGCCTCTTTCAGCTGTACAGCCGGCTCTGTGGCCAGGAAGGGCTGGGGGAGCCCGAGCCTGGTGTGCCCGCCCTGCTCAACATGGTCATGCTGCCGCTGGTGGTGGCCCTGTGCCCTGCGGGGACTCCTCTCCCCGCCGCCGTGGAGACCCTCCGCCTGTCTTCTCTGGACCATGAGGAGGAAGCCACGCGAGGTGATGCTGGGACGCTGGCTTGGGAGTCAAGCTGAGGAGGTGCCCTGGGCGGGGGTGGGGCCAGCCTCTCAGCACAGCTCCGGGGACCGTGAAGTCCCCATTGGGCCCTGAACGTGAAGGGTGGGGAAGCCAGTGCCTTTGCCTGTGGGTGAGACCTTTAGTGACCATCGTTTCACAGTGTGGGAGGGCTCACCCCAGAACCTCCTGACCCACCGGGGACTGTCCCTCCTGCAGGCCAGTGGCTTTCCTAAGTGTCCACCATTTCCTAAGCGAAGGATTACATTCCACATGGTGGTCAGGTGCACACGAGTGTACAAACGTGTGCGTGTGTGCACACATATGTACAGGTATGCACACAAGTACAGATACACACATTTACGTGCTTGGCATCAGCAGGTGCCTAGTAAGGGTTTGGATGGATGAATGAAGAATGAACAGCAAAGGCTTTGAAGCCTGAGCAAGAGCCCAAGAGGAGCGGTGGGCATCCTCATGTGGCCCCTCCACCTGGGAGGCTGGGCCCTTTCCCAGGACACCGGGAGCAGCGAGGGGCCGCTACCCACCTGGTAGCAGGTCTGTCCTCTCGTCTGGCTGCAGTTGGGGAACTGAGTCTGTGCCTGGAAGGCCCCCCTCCCCCCCGTGCCTTGGAGGGAAGGACGGGGTGGGGGTGATTCCTTGACCTCAGTCTGGGTCTGGGGCGGGGAGTCAGACCAAGAGTTTTTCTACATTCATCAAATAAAAAGATGGTTTTTCAGGGTACAAAAATGATTAACCCAAAAGTTAAGCAAGAACAAAATTAGTTTGTTTTACCCACTTGTTTGCCTCGGCGGCCGCAGGCGCATGCCCAGTTCACTGGCGCTTTGCAACGCCCGTGTCCCTGGGTGTGGAGNTGTTGCCTAGAGGGGGGCTTGGGGGGCCTGGCTCTGGGTCAGCTCTGTCCCGCCAGGGAGCTCCCTGTCATAGCAGTGACACCAATCCTGGTCCAGTACCCGCGCTCGCTGTGCCCCAGGCAGCATGGCCTGTGGGGCAGAGCCGGCCACTCAGTGCCTGTGAGCCTTTTCCGCCCGCCCCCCCATCGCACGCCCACCGCCCAGTCTGTGGGGACATCAGTCTCACCCATCTTCTCTCTCTGACAGAAATGCTCAAGGACAGGAACAAGCCCACTGTGCCAGCCCGAGGCCCTCGGGGCCGGAAGAGGAAGCCTGGGGAGGTGGAGGAGACAGCCAGCCCCGAGCTGCAGGCGTCCAGCTTGGAGACGTGCAGGGGCCTCCTGAGGTCCATACTGACCCACTGGGGGCCGGTGTTCCCCGGCCCTGTGCCCGATCAGGACCCTGAGGACCTAGCCACCCCGCAGAGTGATGAGGCCAGCCCCATGTATGCCGTCGCCACCCTGGTGGTCAGCTGGGTGCTGCGGTCAGCAGCCCAGCACCCGCTGAGCAGGGCTGAGGCCTCAGGCCTCCTCCGCTGGCTTCAGAGCCACATTGTGCCCCAGCCAGCAGTGGTGGCCGAGCTGCTGAGGGACAGCAGAGTGCGGAGTGGCCTCTTTCAGCTGTACAGCCGGCTCTGTGGCCAGGAAGGGCTGGGGGAGCCCGAGCCTGGTGTGCCCGCCCTGCTCAACATGGTCATGCTGCCGCTGGTGGTGGCCCTGTGCCCTGCGGGGACTCCTCTCCCCGCCGCCGTGGAGACCCTCCGCCTGTCTTCTCTGGACCATGAGGAGGAAGCCACGCGAGGTGATGCTGGGACGCTGGCTTGGGAGTCAAGCTGAGGAGGTGCCCTGGGCGGGGGTGGGGCCAGCCTCTCAGCACAGCTCCGGGGACCGTGAAGTCCCCATTGGGCCCTGAACGTGAAGGGTGGGGAAGCCAGTGCCTTTGCCTGTGGGTGAGACCTTTAGTGACCATCGTTTCACAGTGTGGGAGGGCTCACCCCAGAACCTCCTGACCTACCGGGGACTGTCCCTCCCACAGGCCAGTGGCTTTCCTAAGTGTCCACCATTTCCTAAGCGAAGGATTACATTCCACATGGTGGTCAGGTGCACACGAGTGTACAAACGTGTGCGTGTGTGCACACGTGTGTACAGGTACGCACACAAGTACAGATACACACATTTACGTGCTTGGCATCATCAGCAGGTGCCTAGTAAGGGTTTGGATGGATGAATGAAGAATGAACAGCAAAGGCTTTGAAGCCTGAGCAAGAGCCCAAGAGGAGCGGTGTGCATCCTCATGTGGCCCCTCCACCTGGGAGGCTGGGCCCTTTCCCAGGACACCGGGAGCAGCGAGGGGCCGCTACCCACCTGGTAGCAGGTCTGTCCTCTCGTCTGGCTGCAGTTGGGGAACTGAGTCTGTGCCTGGAAGGCCCCCCTCCCGCCGTGCCTTGGAGGGAAGGACGGGGTGGGGGGTGATTCCTTGACCTCAGTCTGGGTCTGGGGCGGGGAGTCAGACCAAGAGTTTTTCTACATTCATCAAATAAAAAGATGGTTTTTCAGGGTACAAAAATGATTAACCCGAAAGTTAAGCAAGAACAAAATTAGTTTGTTTTACCCACCTGTTTGCCTCGGCGGCCGCAGGCGTGTGCCCAGTTCACTGGCGCTTTGCAACGCCCGTGTCCCTGGGTGTGGAAGGATGACATGCTCTCTGGCTGAGTAGACGTGCGTCCTGACATCCCTGCTGTCCCCTCTTCCTCAGCCTCCGCGGCCTTCCTGCTGTCCCTGTACATCAAGGACGTCTGGCTGGGGGCCCAGCAGCCAGATGCCCTCCTCACCCACGTCCAGATGGTGTGTGATGCTGTGGAGGATGCTCCGGGTGGTGACCAGGAGGCCATCGTTGGGCTCTGCAAGGACATCGCTGCCCTGGCCCCAGACGTGTGACACCCTGCCGGCTGGCGCCTCCGTTTGAGCCACTTTCCATAGAAGGTGTGCGAGGGACAAGTGTGTGGGCTCAGTTTCCTGGCAAGAAACGTTGACTTTATTTATTTGACCAATATACAGACTCAAGGGACTGTGACGTGGTCGGTGTTACGGTGGCCGTGGGTCCTTCAGGGCCATGAGGCCCATCCAGCAATGAGTGGGGCCCACCCTTCCTCTCGGGGGGCCGTCCTTCAGAGGGAACACCTCACAGGAGGTAACACTGNCTCCGCCCGCCCCCCCATCGCACGCCCACCGCCCAGTCTGTGGGGACATCAGTCTCACCCATCTTCTCTCTCTGACAGAAATGCTCAAGGACAGGAACAAGCCCACTGTGCCAGCCCGAGGCCCTCGGGGCCGGAAGAGGAAGCCTGGGGAGGTGGAGGAGACAGCCAGCCCCGAGCTGCAGGCGTCCAGCTTGGAGACGTGCAGGGGCCTCCTGAGGTCCATACTGACCCACTGGGGGCCGGTGTTCCCCGGCCCTGTGCCCGATCAGGACCCTGAGGACCTAGCCACCCCGCAGAGTGATGAGGCCAGCCCCATGTATGCCGTCGCCACCCTGGTGGTCAGCTGGGTGCTGCGGTCAGCAGCCCAGCACCCGCTGAGCAGGGCTGAGGCCTCAGGCCTCCTCCGCTGGCTTCAGAGCCACATTGTGCCCCAGCCAGCAGTGGTGGCCGAGCTGCTGAGGGACAGCAGAGTGCGGAGTGGCCTCTTTCAGCTGTACAGCCGGCTCTGTGGCCAGGAAGGGCTGGGGGAGCCCGAGCCTGGTGTGCCCGCCCTGCTCAACATGGTCATGCTGCCGCTGGTGGTCGCCCTGTGCCCTGCGGGGACTCCTCTCCCCGCCGCCGTGGAGACCCTCCGCCTGTCTTCTCTGGACCATGAGGAGGAAGCCACGCGAGGTGATGCTGGGACGCTGGCTTGGGAGTCAAGCTGAGGAGGTGCCCTGGGCGGGGGTGGGGCCAGCCTCTCAGCACAGCTCCGGGGACCGTGAAGTCCCCATTGGGCCCTGAACGTGAAGGGTGGGGAAGCCAGTGCCTTTGCCTGTGGGTGAGACCTTTAGTGACCATCGTTTCACAGTGTGGGAGGGCTCACCCCAGAACCTCCTGACCCACCGGGGACTGTCCCTCCTGCAGGCCAGTGGCTTTCCTAAGTGTCCACCATTTCCTAAGCGAAGGATTACATTCCACATGGTGGTCAGGTGCACACGAGTGTACAAACGTGTGCGTGTGTGCACACATATGTACAGGTATGCACACAAGTACAGATACACACATTTACGTGCTTGGCATCATCAGCAGGTGCCTAGTAAGGGTTTGGATGGATGAATGAAGAATGAACAGCAAAGGCTTTGAAGCCTGAGCAAGAGCCCAAGAGGAGCGGTGTGCATCCTCATGTGGCCCCTCCACCTGGGAGGCTGGGCCCTTTCCCAGGACACCGGGAGCAGCGAGGGGCCGCTACCCACCTGGTAGCAGGTCTGTCCTCTCGTCTGGCTGCAGTTGGGGAACTGAGTCTGTGCCTGGAAGGCCCCCCTCCCGCCGTGCCTTGGAGGGAAGGACGGGGTGGGGGGTGATTCCTTGACCTCAGTCTGGGTCTGGGGCGGGGAGTCAGACCAAGAGTTTTTCTACATTCATCAAATAAAAAGATGGTTTTTCAGGGTACAAAAATGATTAACCCGAAAGTTAAGCAAGAACAAAATTAGTTTGTTTTACCCACCTGTTTGCCTCGGCGGCCGCAGGCGTGTGCCCAGTTCACTGGCGCTTTGCAACGCCCGTGTCCCTGGGTGTGGAAGGATGACATGCTCTCTGGCTGAGTAGACGTGCGTCCTGACATCCCTGCTGTCCCCTCTTCCTCAGCCTCCGCGGCCTTCCTGCTGTCCCTGTACATCAAGGACGTCTGGCTGGGGGCCCAGCAGCCAGATGCCCTCCTCACCCACGTCCAGATGGTGTGTGATGCTGTGGAGGATGCTCCGGGTGGTGACCAGGAGGCCATCGTTGGGCTCTGCAAGGACATCGCTGCCCTGGCCCCAGACGTGTGACACCCTGCCGGCTGGCGCCTCCGTTTGAGCCACTTTCCATAGAAGGTGTGCGAGGGACAAGTGTGTGGGCTCAGTTTCCTAGCAAGAAACATTGACTTTATTTATTTGACCAATATACAGACTCAAGGGACTGTGACGTGGTCGGTGTTACGGTGGCCGTGGGTCCTTCAGGGCCATGAGGCCCATCCAGCAATGAGTGGGGCCCACCCTTCCTCTCGGGGGGCCGTCCTTCAGAGGGAACACCTCACAGGAGGTAACACTGAGCTCATGAGGGGTTCCTGTGTTAACGTTAAAGCTGAAACATCCCCAGTATGGCACATAAAAGAGTCTGAACAGAAGTGTTTAAAGCCGTCTCTGTAAGAAGCAACAGCTCTGTGTAACTTTGTAGATATATCCGCTCCTGCCAGTTTAATTATTTTATTAAATAAAAGGGTGTTGCAGCAGATCTTTACAGGATGAAATCAATTTGACCTCTGCTGAGAAGGCGGCCTGTAATTTTTAAATTGTGTTCCAAAGACAGGATTTTGAATTTTATAACTTGATAATAAATGTCTATTTTGTTAAGTTTTTGTGTTTTACTTAATTGATGTTAAAGGCTATTTTTATTCCACCAAGACCTGCATGTTGGAGGCCAGGGTTTGACTTTTAAGATCCTGCGTTAATTGGTGTCGTAGTTGACAAGTGTGGGCAGTGAAACGTAGCAGTTTACGGTGCAGAATTTTAGCCTGTTCATCCAAAGCTCGGCGTGTTCCCACACCCCGCACACCAGGGCTCCCGGGGCTCTCGGCCGTCGTCACCGTCAGCTCAGTGGCACCCGTGCCCGTCACCCGGGAGGTGGCGGCTTGTTTGCCCGTGTAACACACCCCACTGAGAGCGGTTTCAGCCTCACGTTTACTCCCTTGTACCTCAGTGTTCTCTAGGTTCCCCTGCTTTTCTTAATAAGATTTTTAACCAGACAGAGTGGGTTTATCTGCATCTAGTTCCTCTTAACTACAAAGAGGGCTCATCGTCTGGAGGCAAAGAGCAGTCACCCCCTCTCCTGTCCCCCCCAAACACCGACAGCAGCGTCCTTCAGGAGTATTCTGCAGTCTGTCCTACATGCAGATCCGAGCCGGAAAGGACGTGTTCCTTCCTCCCCCCTTTCCCGCATCTCCAACTCAGTCTCCCCTTGTCTTCCCTTATGACCCGCTGTCCCCCATCTGGCAAGGCCACACTCGGACCTGGGCGTCCAAGAAAGGTACAGAGCAGCCAAGCGGGCAGCCAAGCGAACTCACGGTCGATACAATGTTGCAGCAGTAACCTTGAAGCTAAAAAGTGGCTTAGGAAAGATGAGTGGGTGACTATTTCAAATCTTTATTTATGGATATTATTTCCTGCCCTTCCCAAAGCCAGCACAGGCAGTGGGGAAGCGGCTGGGTGCACTGGAGCTGCAGCCTCGGGGCTGCTCCCCCTGCCGGGTGGGCTGTTGCGGCCTCGGATCACGTCACGGACACGTCACCATGCCTCCTTGTGGTGGTTCTTGACACAGCTGCGCGTCCGCTGCGGACAGTGGCTGTGGCTTGTCGCACTGTCAGTACTGTCTCCAGCTGGAGGCCGGCTGGGCCTGTGGCCCAGGTCAGCTGATGCTGTGGGGGTCCCCATCGAGGGCCTGGTCCCACAGGAGGGCAGGGTGGGCCTCCGGGGCAGTAGGGGTTGAGGCAGAGGCGTCGGATGCTCTGCTGCCTGGCTCCCCCTCCCCAGCTGAGCTCAGTGAGGCCTGTGGGGTCCCCTGGGAGGCCCTGTGCAGCAGAAGGTGCCTCCGGACGCAGAGGGGGAGGTCGAGGTGGAGACTCCAGGGGCACGTGGAGCGGTGCTGGGCATTCCTATGGAGAAAGATGAGGCAGGCGTCAAGGCTGCCCCAGGACAGCCCCTCCAGGGCTTTGTGTCCCACCCTCCTGCTTGTCCGAGCCCACAGGGAAGGCCCCACGGAGCTCCAGCACCTCTGCAGAGAGCGGACACCTGAGGGCCAGCCCAGCCCAACAGGTCACCATGTGGAGAAATGGAGACAAGAGGAGGTGCTTGGTGGCGACCTGGTCCTCGGTCTTTCCCTCCAGGTCGCTTTCCTTGTGTGTCCATTAGCAGCTGGGGACATGGGGGTGGGGCGCAGGTTGGTCTAGCGTCCGCCCACAGATCAGAGTGAGCTCATCTTGAACTCAGACCTCAGGCCGCGTCTTAGCAGCCCGCCCGCCCTGGGTGGCCTCCTGTGCTCAGGTGCTGGGGGAGGTGGACACCGCCCCGCTGACGGCCACTACACCCCACCTGCCCTCCGTCTCACCAGTGACGAGGTGACGGTCACCTCAGGTATCCTGGGGTGACATGAGGAGACCTGTTGACAAGTGTCCAAGTTGGAGAACCGTTTCCCTGTGACTATAACCCTAGTGTGTGTGGAGGGTCAGGGAAGGACCCAGGGACCAGAGCCCTCCTTGCAGAAGATGCTAGCTGACCTTATTTATTTATTCTTTTGCATGGAAAGAGCAGCTCGTCAGGGAGCAGCTGGACAGTTCTCTTTCCTGAGTCTTACTCAGGACCCTTGGTACTGTCCTGAGCGTCTCACGTCGGGCACCAAGTGCTTGGGCAGCGGTGTCCTCCGTGAGCACCGCCAGTCAGGAGGAGCATGGGTTCCTCCCCACTGAGCCACATGCATCACCCGCGTCCCCACGCCCGCCCCGCTCACCTGGCCTGTGGGGAGCTCGGCCAGGACATGTAGAGCAGGATGAGAAACAGGAGAACCACGAAGGCCGCCAGGCTCACCCAGAAGGCGATGACCACGGAGTCTGCAGGAGCGAGAGGCGTGTCAGTGTCGTGTAACTCGGACCCGGCGCAGGGAGGGGCCCAGAGCTGCGGGACAGGGCAGGGTGGGTGCTCCACCCTTTCCCAGCCTCTCGGCTGCTGGGCAGGAACAGGGCAGAGGAAAGTGACTTTTCCCAGAGCCCCCAGCCACTGGGTCGGTGTGGAGGGGTTGTCTGCTCAGGGGAAGCAGTAAAAATCAGGTGTGGATGCGCTTTTTTTAGCTGTTACTGCTGCTCAGAAGATGGATTTCCCTCCTTCCTTTTTCCTTGGGAGGGAGAAGACGGGCCTGGGGCAGCTTGTGTGGCAGGGCGGCCTCCCCCCCCCCTTCCCCCGAGAGGGCTGCAGGGGGCTTTGGTGAGCAGCGCCCAGGAGTGAGAGCCTGGGCCGGAGCACGTGCCCCTGGCAGGGCAATCCCTTCCCCCGGGGGATGTTAACGGAGCCCTGCCCTGGCCAGGACTGAGGACTTGGAAAGAGCTTGTCCCTCCTTCAGGTGGACAGGCCAGCTGGGGGCTGTGGCAGGAGGAAAAGGCACGTTTGCAGTGACCATGATGGCTGTGTTTGTGGCCGGGGGCGGAGGGGGCAGGAAACACGCCTGGACGCTCCTGGGCCCTGGGAAGACCAGCAGGTCGGGAAGTGCCCTTCTTTGGGCTCCAGTTCAGGAACATTCAGTAGGTTGCCAGGGAACCGTTGCATGTGGCAGGGTTCCCGTTGGGTGGCTGGCGCTGTGGGCACAGAGCACCGGGCTCACAGTTAGTGTCTGCACCTTTTGCATCTCAGACACGCTGGTGAGCCAGGACAAGGTGCCCCCAACCGGGGAACGCTGCACACCGACAGAAGTGACCAAAGAGGCTGCTGAAGGATGGTGACCGACAGGCGTGTTAAGCACCTGCCGAGCCAGGCTCTGCTGGCAGCTCTTAGGATTCGGAGGGGCCAGCCTGGCCCTCGGGAGCTGGCGTCCTGCCAGCCTCCCCCTCTGAAGCCCTCGATGCCTCCAGGGCCGCCCCTGCCCTGCCGCCCATGTGTTCTGTCCAAATGGAAGACGCTTAGGAAGTCAACAAATGAGTGAGCAAATGAGGGGGTGTCAGCGATATGTGGTCACTTGTGGGGTGATTCACGGCATTTGAGTAGTGTCACCTCTGCCCTAAGACGCAGCCCTGTGAAAGGAGTCGGAGTCCCCACCGCCTCCTGCTCAGCCGCAGCTTGGCATCGGGCTCCGAGGGGCAAGGACCGGGGAGACCCTGGCTGCTCCCACATCCCCTCCACTCAGTCCCTGGGCTGAGGACCCCGGTGGCCCCTGAGCACTGAGCTGTTTGAGGGGACCTCCTGGGCTCCTGGGCAATGCGAACGGGGTTGTTGCCGTCTGTCCTGAGCTTAAGGACTTTGCAAAGACGTCCACTTTTTTTTTCTTTTGAGAATTTTTATGAGTTTATCTGAGCCGAACTGACAGCATATGCGGGGAGCGAGCTCTCAAACGCTCCCTCTGACCCTCGGCAAGGAATGCCGGGCGATGTGCCTTCCTGGGCCTGCCTGCTTCTGTCCAGCTCTGTCCCTGAGAGGCACAACGTACTTACACCCTCGAAGGGCGAGTGTTTGTAAGCGTTCAGAAAATGTGGGTGGGGATTCGGTTCTGTAAGGGGGTTAGATTTCTGCAGACACTAATGTGCTTTTTCCTTCATAGAAGTAACTCAGGGTTCGCCCTGGCCGGTGTTCTCAGTGGTTAGAGCGTCAGCCTGCGCACCAAAGGGTCGAGGGTTCAATTCCCAGTCAAGGGCACGTACCTTGG